TTTTAATTACTGCAGAACGCTCCATTACATAGTGCTGGCTTAGAGGCCTCACTCATCCCTCAGGTTGTAAATGCCCTTGGACCCTAATTTGTCCTACAACAGGAAGGTGAGTCCGAGGTTCAGTTGCTCTTATTCAAGAAAACGGGGGGCCAGAAAGGTCAGTGGGTGTTTTCACCTCTCCGGACTATTCTCAGGCTGGAAGAAAGCCAGAGAGACCAAGACCTTGATGCCAGAGAGCTGCCAGGGTCAACTCCCCCCAGAGTCTTCCCCTTGGGGAGATGCTAAGAGGTAGTGAGAAGTGCATGCTCCTTGAGTGGGCAGCAGCCACTGGCAATGAGGTAAGTCTCAGAAATAGCAGATCCTGCCTCGTCACCCCTCCATGACCACGGGCAGACCTGGGGGAGGAGAGTGGCTAGAAACTTTCTGTTTGGGTGGGCTTTTCCTTTCCTGGGCAGATGGACTTCTAGTGAGGAGAGGAAGGCAGAGCCCCATCCTGTGCTGCTCCTCACCCCCTCACCCTTGCTGAGTCATTGTCAACAGCAAATCCCAGGCAACAAAGTTGCAGCATCACTCTTGGTACTAAAACCCTGCTGACAGTGGAGTGTCGTGACTGGCACCGCTTCTAGAAGCAGGTTCCTGCCTCTCCTGATATCTGAGTGGCCCAACTGGGTTGAAGCCTTGGGACCACCCACCCAAGGTCATCTGATTGGCCACAAAGTTCTTGTTGAGTGGCTCCCTTTCTCCTGCTATTCCCACCTTGGGTAAAGTTCAACCTGGAGCTTTAACTGGGATTGTGCTGTCTACGGATCAGTTTGAAGAAAACTGACATCTTTATAATATTAGGTTTTCCAATTCATGAATATGATATATTTCTCCATTTACTAAGTTTTCTTTAATTCATCTTTATGAAATTTTATAGTTCTCTCTGTAGAGATTTGAGACATATTTTGTTAGATTTATTCTTAGGCATTGTATATTTTTCAGTGCTTATCCTAAAGTATATCTTAAAAATATTTATCCATCATTTTTGACAAATTTCAGTTCATGATCGGAAAACAACCCAGCTATTCAGTTATTTTCAGACCATTCTAACCAGTTTTTCATGCTGATCAACTTGGTCCTGTACAATCAAGGAGGACTCAGGTGCTATCTGCCCCAACCCAGGCATGCCTCCTGCTCTCAGGAGGGGACTTCCTTTGGCATGCCATTAGGTGTTCAAATCAATCCTACTGTCTCGGTTTTCCCACTCTTCCAGACATCAGCAGACTTAGGTCCCTGAGGTTTGGTGGGGGACCGAATTGCTCTAAACTGGTTTATATTCACCCATCGTTTTTGTGTATCTTTGGAACAAAGTGTGGATTTAATGAGTGGGGCAGTTGAATTTGGGGCAGGGATTTACTTGAGTAATTCATTTTCCATTGAGTGGTGAGAATAGATAGAAATGAAGAACTTGGGAACATTAATCACCCTGAAGACAATGAAAGCAAGAGCACACACCACCAACTGACTGACTGACCAACCAACCAATCACAGAGACCAAAAGGACAAGAAAAAGCGTAGTGGCAACCTGAGATCACTTCTCCCCGGCTGTGACTGTGTTGCTGCCGAACTGTCCTTTTACAGCGATTGCCCACAAGTGTAAACCCTTTCATATCACACATAAACAATCATCCAGGGAGTGATAAGGTGCAACAGAATTCAACTAATGGGAATTAACTTCAGGTCCCTGTCTGAAGCCCTCGTTCTTGGGCACATTCAGCTCAATATCTTCACCAGAGCTACAAGTCGTTTCTGGTTTGGTTTTCTGCCTGAAATGTTTGGGGAGGCTTTTCCTGAAGTCTATTCCTTAATGAAGAATATCACTTAATAAGAATCCAGGAAGCCTTGCTTTCCCAATGCTCCTCCAAACTGGTTGACCTTCGCTGGCCAGCCAGTTCAGTGACCGCCACCCTCTCCTGCCAGGAGACACTTAGAGGCGTCCACAGGAAGGGTCCATTTCCCGTTCTCTTTACAGACTGACCCTTGCGGGTGAAATGCAAATGGCCCCAGGATGGCTCTCTTTCTTCTTTAGGAAAAGTCTCTCTTGTTTTTCCCATATTCTCACAATAGACAACTAGGGGTTGAGGAAACTAGGCAGCACTTTATGCTGTAGACCACAGCTGGCTAGTTTTGGGAGGCTGGTTCGTTCCTAGAGCTGCAAGATTTGGGCACAATGTCCTTCAGGTGGAGGCTCCTGCAGGTGTCAGTTTCATTTGCATCCTGGGGCAGGTTTGCTCAATACATCTCCCGTGCTCGTGAGACTGATTCAGGAAGTCCACTGCAGGGCCCTGCAGATTGCGTCAGGCATCATCAGAAACACATCTGAGTCAATTGTGAAATGACTCAAGGCTTTGAAATATTTAAACCATATGTCTCATGAAACTAGATGAAAGTAATGCCAGTTTCCCTACCTAGGGGCTGCCATCTGAGATTGAAGCTCAACTCGGCAATGATTCTGAATTCCGAGATTGAAGCTCAACTCGGCAATGATTCTGAATTCCTGGCCTTGCTCAGTCATGTCGCTGTGGGCTGTGAACCTGTCAGTACTCCTGGCCCACAGGTGGACAGAGCCCTTCAGAAAGTGGCCAGGGATATTCGGTGGTCTTCTCTAGGCCAGGACAAAAATTTATGTCCCTTAATGGGAATAGGATGGAAGGGAAAAGATTATAATTGCTGCCCTGGAGGAAGCAGGAAAACACCATTCTCACCGCCAGATGACCTTCATTATGAGTCTAATTCTCTGAAAATCAGCCAAAACACCTAGGCATTCTTTGAGTGGAAAGAAAAATCAGCATTTTAAGAATATTGTCAGTCTTATTTTTGGCATATCTCAAAGGTTGTTTCCCTCTTTCTGAAATGTACCCAGCAGAACACTTGATGTGGAAAGATGCTAACAAGCTGATGTGGAAATACACTGACCTTAACTCAGGGGTGTTAGATTCTGTTCCCAGTTAAGCTAATTAGTACTGGTGTAATTAATATTACACCCAATTGCTCTGAACTTCACTTCCCTCTTCCCTAAAGTGGGGGTGCTAAGACCTATCATATAGGGCAGCCGTGGGCAAACTACGGCCCGCGGGCCGAATCCGGCCTGTTTGAAATGAATAAAACTATTGAAAAAAAAAATGACCGTACCCTTTTATGTAATGATGTTTACTTTGAATTTATATTAGTTCACACAAACACTCCATCCATGTTTTTGTTCCAGCCCGCTGGTCCAGTTTAAGAACCCATTGTGGCCCTCGAGTCAAAAAGTTTGCCCACCCCTGGTATAGGGGCATTTTGAGGTTAAAATGCAATGAGGTATGTGTAGCACATGGTAGGTTATCCAGAAATGCTGGTTGAATATTAATTCAAAAAAGATGATGGATAGCTTGTCAATGAACATGGATCCAAGAGCCAAGGAGCACCCCCTGCCCCAATTAGTCCTGGGACAAGTACACATTTGAATAGCAATAAAATACATGGCTAGGGACTCCTCCTTTGGGCCTTGTGTTGATCTGTGATGCATCTGGGGAAACTAACCAAGGAGGGGAAGAGAAGGAACAGAAAGCCAGAGAGTTTTCTCAAGTCCGTATGGAACAATTCTCTCTGAACCAAATCTTTCCTTCTGATCACTCTCTGACAGGAGTTAGGGTAGCCAGGAGAGCCACTGAGTTGTTACAGACCCTCCCTCAGAAGTAGCTGCCCATGTTGTGAATCCCAGGTCAGTGGATGCCAATGATTCTGGCTTGTCTTCAGGGGTGGAAGACAGAAGGTGCTGCTCAAACCAGCCTGCTCCTCCATTATCCAGGACAATGGGATGGGGCTGGTTAAGGAGGGCACAGATAATCCAAGGTGATAGGTAATCGCTTTCCCTA